TATAGTTTTGGCTTTGTAATACAATATTATGGGATGTTATATAGTTTTGGCTTTGTAATATAATATTATGGGATGTTATATAGTTTTGGCTTTGTAATATAATATTATGGGATGTTATATAGTTTTGGCTTTGTAATATAATATTATGGGATGTTATATAGTTTTGGCTTTGTAATATAATATTATGGGATGTTATATAGTTTTGGCTTTGTAATATAATATTATGGGATGTTATATAGTTTTGGCTTTGTAATATAATATTATGGGATGTTATATAGTTTTGGCTTTGTAATATAATATTATGGGATGTTATATAGTTTTGGCTTTGTAATACAATATTATTCATCAAAAATTATTCAGTTATCATTCAGAGAATTTGTTGGCTAGATGAAAAATTACGTTTTCGTGTTTTGGGCCAAATATTTATTAGAGATTTCTTTCTTTCAATATTTCTTCTCTTAAAGTTATATATACTGCATATATCATTGTTTTGTTGAAGGATGAAAATATATTTGAATGAAGATAAACTATCGGATAATTTATCTTTATATTTATTTATCAAACATATATTTATATGAATTTATTCTTGATTGATTTATATCTATCTATAATATAACATAGACATTCTTATATATGTTCCCTATAGCCGACCAAACGCCTGGACCGAATGGGCTGACATTAGTTGAAGACACTCATGGGTAGCCCCTTGGGTGACATAGGCTAAAAAAATTAAATTTTTTTTCTTCAAAATTTTTTTTTTTAAATATTCGATTTTTAAAAAATCCACGGGCAATGCCAAGCACACAAAGGGACAGTAAGCGTAGTTTCAAGTGACCCTCAATGCAAAGATGCTAATGCCCGATTCACAATAGTACCCTTGAAACCTTTATCTGATCAATAATGTGGAGGATATTGTCGTTTTCTTTGCTTCAAAATGTTTATTCATGTCTGTTTTCCTGCAGTAGAAATGCGCAAGTCACTTTTGTAGAGAAACCGCACAGAACCTTGAAGAAATCAATTATAGATTATACTAATAATATTCTAATTATTATTTATACATAAGGGTGTACCTTTCAACATTATAATTATTATTTATGCATCAATTAATACATATACATGGTGGAACACATAGAACTGTGGAAAACGAAGACGATTGTTTGGACTCAAGTTTGGATCATAAATAGTCTAAGAAATATGAAAAACAGGAATTTCCAGAGCAATTTTCTAGGCCTTTACTTACTTATACTTTTTTGTAATTCTATATACATGTACATTTTAGGACTATAAAACACATGTACATTGCACATTTTAGGACTATAAAACACATGTACATTGTACATTTTAGAACTATAAAACACATGTACATTGTACATTTTAGGACTTTAAAACACAGGTACATTGTACATTTGAGGACTATAAAACACTTGTTTTTAGTTTTAGTTTATAGGAATTGATAATCGGCAAAATTACTACACCAATTTGCCTCAAATTTTGGAAACTCGGTAGAACCACAAGAATGTTCATAGTTTGGTTTCAAACCAGTCAGTTAAGTGGATTGACTTTTATAGTGAAAATTTAGTAAAGCGGCAGGTCGAAAGCTAGTTCTTTGTTAATTAAGAAAAGTATAAGTTTGAAATAACATAATCTTATATTGTGCATAAACAGAGGAATTCAGGCCTATAGAGCTAGGTAGAGTAAAATACAACCAAGCGAGACGGAACCTGCTCATCCAGCCAATGAGTATAAAAAGTAGGAAGGGAACAGAGATATGTCTTATTTTCGCATTTTAATGGACAAGGTTTGGTGTAAAAAAAATTATATATGCTGTTTTTTTAATTGTTTCTTTTCTCTTTTCACATGTTATGTGTACGAACCACCTTCCCCCGTCCTTATTTTATTCTCATTGGTTAAACATACGCAAAACATTGTTTTAGTTACGCTAGAACTCGGACCGAAAAGTTACGCATTTATCAAAGTGAATAATGAAAAATATTTCGTACCAACCGAACTTACAAGAAAAAACCAGGAAAAACGAAACAGTGATTTGTGTTTCGTTTAAATACAAAGATACAGAAATACGTGATAAAAACAAAGTTTGTCACGAACCTATAACATGTGTTGTACGCAAAAAAGAATCTAAAAAAATAATAACAAGGGAAGATGGGGGTGAATATACTTACAAATCCTTGGAGCGAGCAACAACTCCCGGAGAGTCTAAAGGAGGTTTGATAATCAATTATTGGGCTAAAATGATATTAGTCGTTGTAATTATGAGTGACCCTTTTCTAAATCTTAAAAAAAACCAATTAATCTTGTCAACAATTTGAAAGGTAACGCCGTTTTTCAAAAACAATAGAAATGGATTTCTAATTCGTACTTATTAGATAAAAACTTTAGAATGAGATATCCTTAATCCTGATTACTTAATCTGAGTATCCAATGTACACACTTTTGATTTTCTTCTTAATCCGTTCTTTCTTGGATATAGTAGAGAGAAAAATCAAAAAAAAGATCACTAGAAATGATGTTTACAGTCCCTTTCAGAGTTTTTCTTTTTCTTTTTGCTTACATTTACATTTTTTGGAGTTACAAATTTGAAATGGAAACTGTGAAGAATTTTCGTAAATCTTCGAACAATAAACTGAAAATTCTCAATTTTTTTAAAATGAACACAGCTGACTCAAAACTTATAGGTAAACGTTTAATTGAGTTTCGTCTTTTATCAAATCTAAAATCATGAATATGTTAGAATAACAATATAAAGTTTACAGCGTATTTCTGAAACAGTTGTTTGATCATTTTAGAGAAAGAAATTGATCCTTTTACTCATCATTTTTTCTTCCCGTGCTGGTGGTGGATTAAGGTAAAGATTTTTTATTAAACAATAAAAATAAAAAAATAAATATCCAAATTGATTTAGAAATATTTTAAATTTAAAAAAGGAATATATTATATAATATTTACCATTAAAAGACAATACTTTAGCAAAAGACCAAGTTGGGTTTTCAGATCGTTAATTTTAAGGAGTTGTAGGTCGTTATTAATGCCTTATGTTTGTGGGTCACCCTATGTAATTTACAGTGATAACCAGGAAACTCTGGGATAGGAAGTCTGCTTTAAACTTAAGTTATGACTTTAAACAGTTCAATGAACATAAAAACAACAATTGTGCAGTGTAAACAGACCCTTTTCACTTAATAAGTGATTTGAAAGCTTACTAGTAAGGCTATTTGCTTTGTAACAACATCAAATGCACTTCAGTCTTGCTTTCATGTCGTCTTCCTATTCTACAGTTTTCTGGTTCTCACTGTATACTAAAATGACATTTATGTTTTGATAAATCTCAAAAGGACTGTAAGCGAAATTTCAAGTTACCTTCCATTTGAAAAATGACTATTCGATTAGCTATGGTACCCTTAAAAGCTATGTCTTACTAAGTGTGAATTAGATATCCATAATTTTCTTTTTAAAAAAATGATTATTTCCATTTGTGGTTTCTCTACAAGAGTAACTCTCGCATTTCTGCTGGAGAAGAACAATGCAGAAAAAATATTATATAAAACTTTTCAAGCTAGTAATCCATCTACTAGACGGAAATATGAAAGTTACCATTATGTTTAATATATCTTCAGAGAACACACGGAATAGTATATTTGCATGCATTGCATAAAACATAAAACATAAAGTTGATAATTCTCTTCTTAAAATAAACAATACGGATAATTGATATTTTCAATTTTTCTGATATTAAAATCAATAAAGCCCTGATTTTGCTAATTTACTCTTTTAAAGCTTAAGCTATAAAAACATAGAGAATAGAATATATATTAGAGTGGAATTTAGACAATCTCTCGGTATGAATTTTTTCAGTCCCTTTCAGCCTGAAAGGGAGTTCAAAGTGTACAAATCATGTAAATGTTCACAAATTATATGCAGTAGAGTACATTAATACAGTATGTTCCCTAGACTATCCATTTCAATTTCGAATATTTTAAAGCTGTTAAATAAACTTTATAAAATGAATTAGGTGAATAAAAAACATCATTTAATTTATAGTTATAACGGATAATCATCGTTAGTAAATTGAAAGGCATGGAGTCTATGTGAAATGATCATTGGTCAATGATGAAACCATCAGCCTATTTCATAAATTTGATTTTCTTTTAATATTAATTTTAGATTTTCAATAAAATGATATTCCAGGGCCCAAAAGGTTATATAGCACAAATATGTGAAGTACACCTGCAGTATGGAAACAGTACAACAAAATGGCTGTTTTACACTTTTTTCAAGAAAATTCCCCTCTAATACATATTCTATTCTCTATGTATAAAAACAAACGCGTTGCACGGTGATACGGTCAAACCAACAGCAAAGGCCTGGCGACACTTACAAAATTGTTTCAATAGTTGATGATATATGATTTTGACTAATCAAGTTTATTTTAGACTATCGTGCTCGGGGTTTTCCTGATTCCTGTTCGGATTTTCCTCTGTTCTGTATTATGCTTAATAAATATATTAATTGGTAATAATTAAACCTTTATACATCTATACGAACATATAATAATGGCATATTATGAAACGGGAAGCGCCAGAATTATATATATTTTTTTATATCTCATGTTTCTCTCTTACCAAAAATATTTACAAAGATTTTACGTGTATTCAGGGGTTTGGCAAGGGGAGGGTGCTAGTATCCCCCCCCCCCCGATTCTTTATTCCTATAGTTCCTCATATTTTCTCAATAGTCAGTAGCAGTCCCCTTTGCAGCCCACTGTAGAACTAAAGAAATAAAATCATTGTTAATTTGCAAATATTTGGCGCACCTCACAGAAGGGTAAGAGTACTACCGACTCTCCGGAGGTTAAATCGTTGTTTAAAATTATGCACCCTTTTTTTAATTTCTAAAATAGAATATGTTTCTATTCTATAGCCCTGGTAGTATCCGGGTTCTGGGATCCTGGTCCAGAGAAACCTCATCAGGGTTGGACCAAGCAGATGGCAGATTTAACCTACAGGTCTAGTTCCTATATTTCTTTTTATTATGTATTATGTACTCTATGGGCGGCGCAAGGGGTGGAGGACAATAATTTTACAATTCCTCGCCATTAGTATATTTTCCACTGCAAACATGACAGGAGGTGAAGGTCAATTTCATGTGACATTACTGGTAGAACTTTGTGACTGCATAGCTCCTCTGATTCACAATATTAGAAATTCAAAACATTTTTCTTCTTCTCAATATCTCTTTAATATGATCGGAGTTAGGATTGAAAACATTTAAGAATCTTACGTGAAATTTACTTTAGTTTAACGTGACTCATATCCCCTCCGAAAAGCTTTAGGTTCAGTAAAAAATCTGAAAAAGAACCAGATTTGTGAGGCTGGTTTGGTTTCAGTTATTTGAAATCTAACGTGTTTTGGTCGAAAATTCAACAAACTTATGGATGATTTTCTATACTTTTTCATTCAAAATGTATATGCTGACAAAAAAGTATTTAAGGAAATTAGGCTATGAAATTATGTGTGATGGGTCAAATTGTGATCGAAAGTCACAGCTTTCTTAAATATTGACAGAACCGTTAAATCCACGTGTCCAATTAATAATGGACTTTTAAAATATTGCAAATAGACTTGAAAGGCATCATACCCGAATACCTAAGTTCGCAAACACACTCAAGTAGTCTACCACACTGGACTAACCAGGGCGAGATGCATTTTAATTCAATCTCGTATTGGTCTATAATTCTTTAAACATACGAAGTTGTCTTTTAGATCTTTTCGTTTAAAAAGCATTGGCCCACAAAAATGTATGAAAGAGAAAAGGCGATAAAATGATGTTTAATAGATCAAATTGTGACCGAAAGTCACAGTTCTCTGGGATAAGGACCGAATCGTTAAATCCGGTGGTAGGAACCCGGAGCATGAAACTCATTAATTTTTCGAACTACATTGGATTTTTTTCTCACCTTTTTAATTTCTATGTTTAAGACAAATATGTTTTTTGGCATTCTCCTTCCTTTAAATTTATTCAACTATCATAACTAGTTCTTTTATTTTTCCTCTTTCTTTTCCTTTCTAATTTTGTCTTCCTTTTCTTTAGTTTTTTTTCCTTCCTTTCATATTTATTTTTCTTTTATCTTCTTATTCCTTTTTCATCATGCCACTTGATAGATAACACCAACCCATTTTTCTATATGTATGTGATCGATATCTCGATTATTAATTCTTGAAATTATATTTATAAAGGTAAGTACTATAGACAACAATAGGTTTTACTCCTTCTCCTCCTTCCCACCTTTATACCTGTATTCATCTATTGTAAAAATACTGATTTGATAATTATCTAATTAACCTTCTCCTCTATACTGTAAAGGATTGGAAACCTGATGGTTGGTTGTGCTGGGATCAGGGTTCAGTTATCAGGGTGTGCCCAGGTACTGTATACACTTTATATGAAAAAAAAATAATAATTTTTCTTTTTTACATTTCTCAAAAAAAAATTTCTAATTGTTGGATTTCTAAAATCTTTAATAATCTAAATATTTTCGAGTCGATTTTTCTATTTGATTCTGACCGTTCAATTATACCATCTTAGAGGTCATTTCTGATCCCACAAAAATTTTCCCATGATCGGTTCAGCCGTTTTGTCGTTTATTGGATACAAACAAACCAGCACGTCAACTATAAATATCTATGATTAAGGATAGTAGAGCGCGGATACTAGTTGCTGCCCCACACACCTCCTACCTGGATACCCTACTGGTTGGTAGGACCGGAGCAACTGCAGTAGTAGCTGCTGAGTTCTCCGTCTCCTGTCTAGGAGTTGTTGGAAACTTTATCCGAACCATCTGGGTCAACAGAGAAACCATAGAATCCAGGAGATATTCATTGGATTCAATCATATCAAGAGCTCAGGTCTAGATCAAGTTTCATGACTCTTCTTTTAATTAACGTGTATTTTTAAAATATCCATGAGTTCCATCTGTGAAGCTGAAAACAGTAAAGACAGTTTAGATGTTGTATGTAAACTAATTCTGAATTTCTGAATATTTAATCTTTCATCCAGCCGGTAAAGAAAATATCTAAAGGCTTGTCTAATATGTGTACTGTGTATAAATATATTTTAAACGTTACATACATATTTCATGATTTTATAGAAGTTTTGCTCTTTTGAGCGCCTTTTTAAACAACACTGAAGCCGGGGAAGAAGTTTTTTATAAGCGGAGCGTAAACAGTCGATTCAGCTTCTTAAACTTACCTAATGGTTACTAAATCTTAGAGAGAAGAAAGTCCTAGAAGATTTTTATTTACATGGAACTATATACACTATATTTCTTAGTATATTTATATCAAAATGATATTTTCATGGGAAATATATCTTTAATCTGACTTTACATGTTTAACCTGAGATATCATAAAATGTTGAATTTGGAAAACTATCTCCTGGGGACGGGGTCCATTTATGTAGAGCTTCAAGAATCCTTTTTCTTTTTTTTCTACAATTTCCGTGTGAAACTTTATCTTTAAACTTTTCAGAGAGAATGAATGAACATTTTCTTCTATAGTTTGTAATTAGAAACCTTCTTCTTAAAAATAACGCACAAAAATGTCAACAAGGGAATTGAAAAAATAATATATATACTTATTTACGGGTCTTCTGTTGAAAATATTTGATTCTTTTTTAGCAAGATGAAATCCTGAAATAAATCAACAAGATATATATCTATAAAAACCATTTATTTTATTTTTTGTACAAAACTATGAATTCAAGGCGGATTGTCCCAGCTTTCCGATTTTCTCATAAAAAGAATTAGAATTTAATGACGTAACCTAAACTTTCTTAAACCCAGAATATGAAGGTTAAATGACAAAAACATCCTTTGAATTGGGAAACCCTTTAACAAAATTTTCAAAACTAGGATAATAATTGTTTAAAGGGAAGGAAGGGAACACACTTTTTACTAAATCTTCTTTCGGGTTCATGCCCGTTTACATAACAAGAATAAACCCATTTAGTTCAGCCGTTTTAGAGAAGAAAAACAGGCGAATAGATGCACAGTCTAGATATTTGCATGGAAATTCTTGGATTATTTGTTTGATTGATGCGAGGGTTAGATTACTCTTCTCTTATTACAGGATCCGTCCTGGCCACAGGTTCTAATATTTCCGGAGGGAACCACAACCAACGGACAAGCTCTGCTTAAGTTCAAACCCGGAGCTTTCCTACCCAGAGTACCAATCCAACCCATCACTATACACTGGGAGAACAGATTTAATACTATAACCTGGACATATCAACAGAATATCTCCGCTCCGATCCTTCTCTTTCTAACCCTGGCTACTCCTGTTACTAACTGCAGGATACACTTTCATCCAACCCTGTATCCGGACCTACAGGATACACAGAATACACAGGATACACAGGATACACAGGATACACAAGATATTCACATCTTTGCAGAAAGGTTAGAATAAGAATTAGATTACTTGCAAATTGGTTGGTTTGTCTTATTTAAGCTTGACCAAGCAGTTGTTCTTGAATACAATTTTTTTCTAAACATAAACAAACTTAATAATTCAGTTCAAATAAATATGGAAATGCTAAATCTTGTCAAGATAATATCCTTGATAATTTAGAGAATTAAAAGTGTTTGTCACGTGGGGAAAATTGTTAGAAATTCTCAATTTTTCAGAGGATTTCACTCAATTTTCTCCAGTCACGGTTTGAATGAATTTTTTGTATGAAAATTAAAAAGCCCGCTGAGAACTTTTCAGGTTGAATTAACAAAAAATATAAATAAAGAAAGGACTTTGGAAAACAAATCTAGTCTTTACAAGAGATCTTTATCCTCCTTACAGATTGTTAAACATTGATGTTATTTCTATTTCTAGGACCAGAAGATTGATGGCTGAGAGTTTAGGAGTGCCCCTGTCCAACCTATCTGGGAAGGATGCTTATCAGAAATATATCAAGAACAAAAAATAAAATTTTTAATATTTTTATCTTATTTGATGGATAAATTGATTTAATATTAATATAATGAAATATCTACTTCATTTAAAAACAAAATATTTTTTAACAAGGATTACGGACTAAAGTTATAGGTTTTAATATTTCATTGGAACTATTAAAAGCCAGTGATTTCATTTTGATTAGACTATTCTGATGTAGAACAATGGTTTATGTAAAAGAAGTATTTTCAATAGATATAAAGTTCTTGGTGGAGAAACCTTTTACAAACTAAGTGCTTATATAAGAGGGAGGATTAGATATTAAGCCGGGCCCCCTCCTCTGACAAATTCTTAAACACGACAAACACCCCAGCTGAACATGAAATTTCAGCTATTATCTATCTTATATTATAACTAGCTGAAGAGATCAGCGTTGTCCGTGGAATTTTACGTAACATTTGAAAAAAAATGTCGAATTATTTTTAGCCGATGTTTTTCAGCCCATTCGATACAGCCGTTTAGACAGCTATAGCTAAAATATATATATGTGAGCGAAGAGATTTATTAGATTTGTTTTTAAAGGTTACTAGCTGATGTGCCGGGTTGCCCGTGGAAAAAAAGTTTTGATTTTTGAAAGAAAAAAAAATAGAATTTTTAGAGAAAAAAAATTCAATTTTTTTAGCCTATGTTACCCCCGGGGTACTCTTGGGTTCCCTCTAAACATGTGAGCCCATTCGGTCCAGCCGTTTAGCCAGCTATAGCTAACATATATACTAGTACTAGTAGTAGTAGTACTAGTAGTAGTACTAGTAGTAGTACTAGTAAATATATATGAGCGAAGAGCTTTATTATATAGAATCATCCTTTAATCCTCCAATTTTATGATAATTTATTTGTATAAATTTTTCTAAAAATTTTTTACAATTAATTAAAAAGACAATGAAAACCTTCACTCTCGCCAAAACAAAAATAAATCCTGCAGTTAATAAATTTTTGTTTTTACTGCGTTCGAAAATAAGGAAAACTGGTTTCTGTTTTAGTATAGTAAATCTTAATTGAAGAAAAGATAAGTACAGATCGTCTAATTTTGTGTGCACTGTGGTGTACTTTTTACTGTTAATTGAATTACATCTTTGGAAGATGTAATAGTTAAATAGATGGAACAGTTGAAAAGTGTTGAAAATATACAGCCTGAATTGATTATATCGTTGAAGGGAACACGAGGGAGGCGGTGCAGAGCATCCATGAGTTCTGCAAACAGACCTCCGGAGCCTCCTGATTCGCAGAATGGACTTTTAGCTAATCAAAATCATCTCTGATGCTCATGATACGTCTGACAGGCTCCCCAACTCTGTCGAGGGAGGGAACCCCCGGACGCCATAAGTCACCGCTATTCAGACACGAGCCTCTCAGATTTGCTTGGCAGACTGAGCCTCCGTTATGCAGAAATGAGCATGCGTAATACATCAAAATGTACCTGTCTAATAAAGGGAGGTTTTTAAACTTGTGTTTTTAGTTTAAATAAAAGATTTTTTTTTTTCAAATTTTTCAACATTGTGGCATGAGAGGTTTCTCAAAGATGAGAAGTATTTATCAATTATCATAAATAGTGCCTAATTATGACTAATAAAGTTGTATATAAAACTTTAAACATTTTTTACATGAAAAGGAAAATATTTAGAGAAAAAAATTTGAATTGAATTTCATTTCATTATTTATAATCTTTTATTTCAGCAATACTTTTTTTTGTAGTTCAAATTAAATCTTAGAAAATTTGTATCATTTATTTGAATCTTAACATTTTAAAAAATGTATTTTTTAGATTAAAGATTACAACAAAATAAACTAAATTTACTCCATAAATATTTCTTCAAATATCTTGCTTTCTGCGTAAAAATATTTAAAGTTTTAGTATAAATCTTATAAACCAATTTGAGTCCATATATGTTTCTAATCTTGACAATCAATAAATAACTCTAATCTTTAGTAAAATTCGTATGTCACTACGTCAAAAAAAATTGTAAAATGTTTCATTATACAAGATTTAAGATTTAAAAAAAGCTGTGCACTGCATAGCGAAGGCACAGTCTGGATAGCAGAGGCTTGGTCTGCATAGTGGAGGCTCGGTCTGTCTAGTAAATCTGGGAGGCTCGAGTCTGCATAGCAGAGGCTCATGGCGTCCGGGCCGGGGTTCCCTCCCACCTCTGTCTCCCGTAAAGCAATCCGATATCCATAACAATTATTTGGCTTTTACATCCACCAAAAGCCTTTTTTTCGAAAAATCTCAACATCTTCAGAAAGTTTTTATGGTACATAAACAATTTGTGTTAAAGAATCTACTTTTATTGAGATTAACCCTATCCCTGCTGGGGTACTTGAAAACCAGGATATGCTGGGGTGGGGTCAATTTGACCCCCCCCCCCTCTAAATCCCATGTTTTATGTCCAAATATGACAAATGATACATCATTAGAAAGCTCTTGTGCTCTACTTTTAGAATCTGCAAAAAAAATTGCAAATTTGCGAAAATTGAATTTTTTATCGCAAAATCCAGTTTTATAGTAAAAATTTGTCCAAAAAATGAAAAATTATACATTTTTGAAAAGCCCTTGACCATGCCATTTCAAATATGCAAAAATTTTTGCAAAATTTTAAATAACCTGATTTTTAATCAAGAAAAACTAAAAATGTGCAAATTTCCTTTGACAGGTTGTTTGCAAAAAATTTGCAATTTTTTTTTTCGCAAAACTTGTCCAATCCGTTTCCTTATGTCATAGGCTTTCCAAAAAGCTAAATTTTATCAAAATCTGACAAGTGAAAGTGGGTCAAAACAAAGATTTAGTTTGTTACAGGCAAAAGCAGTCATTCAGGCAGTGTGCCTGAGGACTCAGGCAGTTAGTATTAAAGCCCGGTTTTAGGCCTAAAGGGAGGGCTTTGGGTATGTAAGAAAAGTCAGAAAATTTCAACAGCCTCAGACCAATACTTTTTGAGTTATGTAAAAAAACTAAAGGGGGGGGTCAAATTGACCCCCCCCCCAGCAGGAATAGGGTTAAGACTTCTTATTTTGTTTTTCTACACCCATTCCTATACTTGCGCATAACTATTGCAGCTTTATGTATAGATAGACAAATTTTATATTACTAGCCTTTCAGGGCCTTCGCGCCCATCTTCTATTTACCTGTGAGCATCTTCTCTTTGTACAGTATAAAACAATTAAAGGCAAAAAAAGTTTGCGGATTTCATAATATTTTTTCGCGCATTTTCAAAATTTTACAAAAAAAAAAAACTTTTAAACACAAATTTTAAAATTTTTGATCACTCAAAACCCTTCCCTGGGGTCACGTGAGATCCCATACAAAATTTAGGCCAGATCGGTTCGGCTGTTTTGACGTTTATTGGATACAAACATACAGAAACACCCAGACAAGCTAAAATAGATAGATTTTTTTATCAGTTTCCGCTTTTTTTTCAAAAACTTTAAAAATCTCAATTTGTTGATCGGTTTCCTCAAATTTTAGGTCCGTTTCCTCATATTTATGTTCCGTTTCTGCTTTTTTCAAAAACTTTAAAATCTCAATTTGTTGATCGTATTCCTCAAATTTTAGGTCAGTTTCCTAACAACCAATAATGACCTCTAAATTGAAAATGTTTACACTATGGTTTTATGCATATCAAAAGAAAGGTAGAATAAAGGGCAATAAAGGTCATTACAAGGTCAAACACTGAATTCGTTGCTTTTCCTTTGCTTGGGTTCCTAGCTTTCGTTTGGTGTGCACACAATCATAATTTAAACATTTTCAATTTGGAGGTCATTATTTGAAATTATAAATTTATCGATTTTTTTGGTGAAAATTCTCTAAATAATTATTTAATGAAACTGAACACTTGCCTCAAACTGTATCACCTATATTTTGGCAACCTTAGATCGGATCTATTATTTGGGTAATTATTAATCTTGAACGTTTGATCTCGATATCCAATGTGGACACTTTACACAATGATGATCAATGCTTAATTCCTCGATTAAAGTTATCCCTGCAGGTTATCATCAAAGGATGTAGTGGAAGAATGAAATTAATCCAGAGATCTGCATATGATGGAGATCGATCCTTGAGTTTTTATGACTAACCTTTGATACAGGTCCCAATAATCATGGGGATTCAGTGACGAATTTGATATCGTCTTTTCAAATAATTCTTGATACCTTCTGAGAAAGCTGTAATCTGTAAGAGTTTCGTCTGCTATGTTCACATTTTGTTTATGTTTTGACTGCATGTTGTACTTAGTAAAACAAGAATATTGCAGTATACAAACAGAGTAATCTTGTCCGTCTTCACTGTTCATCTTGCGGAGACATTTTAGACACATCTTTCATTAAATAAACTCTAGCAGACATAATAACATTATGGCTTTTGAAATTAGGTATTACAATGTTAATTCATAACAAGAAGATATCGGATTCGTCACTGAATTCCTATGTTTTTTGGGACACCCTGTACTTGACCCTGCAGAATTTACACTTTATGATCATGGATCATGTTCTATGTACGTCTAAGAGATGTCATGTCAATACGAATAATAATCGGTTAGATTTATAATTTCCCCCGTCAAGTTCCTTGGTTCACTTAAAGGGACCGTTCACTTATTTAGGTAATTTCATGGTGAACTATTAGCCTATTAGCTATTCATTGGTATTAGTCTTAATTTTCAAAGATATCTGATATTAGATAGAATTTAATTTAATATTTGAAATTTTTTTCTAATCCACGACTATAATTGTGTAAATGCAAAGGTATCATACCGTAACCTGGAATTCTGAATGATAAATCGGCTTTTTCTAATTCCACAGTAGTCTGAGAAAGTAAGACTAACACCATGAGGAGCCAATAGGCTATTTGATTTACCCTCAAGTAACGGTCCCTTGTACATTTCAAAAACCTAAAATTTAGTTATACCTTGCTTGTTGTGTAGAAAAATCTAATTTTAACCTTGATACAATCTTTTCTTAAACCTTTCCGGTATTCATTAGAGTTCAATCCTTGATGGGTATCCTGTATGTAAATTAGTTGATAACCATTTATTCTAACCTTCTTTCCATAGGACAAAATAGAATTCCTTATATTTGAAAAGCCTGCAGGAGAACGGAGACAAGTTAATGAGTTAACACATTTTACTGGTAAATATATTTAGACTGATGAATTACAAGTTAAAGATTAAACTGGTCTAAAATAAAATGAAACTTTACCAAATACACTTCATACTGTGCTTTTATAAACAAATAAATAGTGGGACAGTTTAACTGTAAAGGTCGTCGTCATCATCATTAGTGAAGTTTCCACCAGCTGGAGCTGGATTGCTCTGACCTCCTGAACCATCTGGGAACCTGAAGTTGGTTCCGAATCCTCTAGACTGTTGAAGGGTCTGGCTAAACATCTCGTATTTCTTGATATCGTTATCAGACACAGACCTGAACAGATAAAACATTACATTGAAAATTATATCAGTATCTTCAGAATAAAGTCAATTTTGTAATATTACGATAATGTAAAAAATCAAATCAGCTACAATTTTGTAATATATAAATGAATAGTAAATATTATGACCTTCTGGCGAACTTCATAGCCTCCTCAAAATGTCTCTTTGTAATCTCTGGAACGGGGTCTTCCTCATCATCGACATCCATGCTAGCTCCCTGCAGTCAGTATAATTTAGAAAAATTACCCGAGAACTTAATGAGACACGCAGACAAGACGAACATTTTCATTTAAAGATAAAATTCCACAATCTTCGGTATATTAACCTCATCTGTTTAACAACATGGTAAATCATACGTGTAGAAAAAGAAAACACAAAAAAAAAACAAAGACAGGGGTCCATATAATTCCAACCAATACGATCCCAAGACCAAATGTTGATTGATTGATATTAGGGGTAGAAATTAACCATGGTGGTGTTGTAAACAATTTGAAGTCTGATGTCAAGACTTAAGTTGTAGAAAAAAATCTTAACTGCAGAATTTATACTGCAAGGGAGTGTTTATATTTCTGTTTATCATAACTTATCTCTAATATTGATTAATTATATTTACATCTTTTGACATCACAGAAAGTGTATTTTCATGTACTTTCAACCCCGATGCCCCGATGCATGACCAGGAAGACCACAAGGTTTTATTTTATTTTATTTTATTTTTAAAATCAATTTCAAGGATAATCAAGGAAAATATCCAAACAGGCAGACAAGGGAATAATCTGATTTTGTTCAGATCTTGATATTTGTTACCGCGGTAGATTTAGAAGACCAACGTGATGACTTTGAATTTTTAGCCTTTTCCAACTGAAAAATATATTCTTTAAAGCAAGATAAATTAATTTTTCTAAATTCAACAATAAAGTACTGTCATCTCTAAATAAAGTGTAAAAAAATGTTAGATATAAATTTCCTACTTTAGACCAGTTGAAAAATTCATAAAGGAATCTTACCGCTTTCTGCTTCTCCTTTTCCTTCCTAATATCTGCTTCAATAGATTCCCTGATAGCAAGCTTACATGCTCTCTGACAGATCTCAGTCAAATCAGCTCCGGAGAATCCACGAGTCATCTTAGCCAGGTAGGGTACATCTACATCCGGGGCTACGGGAGATTTCCTAAGGTTCGCCTTAAGAATCGCCATCCTTGAACCATCGTCGGGTAGAGGGATATAAATCAGCTGGTCCAGACGACCAGGCCTAAATGTTGATCAATATAAATAATAATAATAATAATAATTACTATCTTTTCCTCTTCTAATAAAATGGTAAAAAATCAGCGATCAAAGTATTTCGTCAAGGCTTGTTGAATATTTGTATTAATCCATCAAGCACAGTGCTTCTCGTGTGTCATCAGGTTTTCAAGCTAAACAAGAATGAATAAAACTACTAATAACCTGAGAATTGCAGAATCGATAATGTCTGGTCTGTTAGTTGCTCCGATGATAAACACGTTCTTCTTACTGCCCATACCGTCCATCTCTGTAAGGATCTGATTGATAACTCTGTCACTGGCACCTCCAGCATCACCTGAGGTTCCACCTCGAGATTTAGCAATACTGTCCAATTCATCGAAGAACAGCACACAAGGTGCAGCAGAACGAGCCTAAATATTTTATCAATAACATTGTGCTCAGGAGGCTAGGTGTGTACTGTGTGTGTACTCGTGTATTATGTAAAGAAATGGTTTACCTTGTCGAATACATCTCTGACGTTAGCCTCAGATTCTCCGAACCACATAGTCAATAACTCAGGTCCCTTGATGGAGATGAAGTTGGCCTGACATTCGTTAGCGATAGCTTTAGCGAGCAGAGTCTTACCACAACCAGGGGGTCCGTAGAATAGAACTCCCTTGGAGGGCATCATGCCGAACTTCAAGAACTTCTCTGGATGTTCTACCGGATACTGAACCAGTTCCTGTAGCTCCTTTTTCACGCTCTCCAGACCTCCAATATCATTCCAAGATACATTGGGCACCTCGACAACGGTTTCACGGATGGCACTAGGTGTGCTCTTACTCATAGCGTACCTAAACAAAATAATATGGAATTAGTTTTCAAGAATTAAAATAAAACACATAAAACATTTAACTAAGTTTAGATAATCAACCTGAAATCATCCATTGTTACAGCTAGACTGTCAAGAACTTCAGCATCAATAGTCTCATCTTCAAGATCAATTAGATCCATCTTCTCACGGATCTGTTGAAGAGCAGCTTCACTGCAGAGTGCAGCCAGATCAGCTCCGACATGTCCGTGGGTCTCGGCTGCAACCTGGTCTAGGTTCAGGTCTTCAGCTAGCTTCATGTTTTTGGTGTGAATCCTGAGAATTTCTAATCTGCCAACTGCATCAGGGATACCAATATCAACCTCACGATCAAATCTACCAAACCTACGAAGAGCTGCGTCGATGGAGTTCGGTCTGTTGGTTGCAGCCATCACGATAACATGAGCTCTGAACAAAATAAAGATTAAAAATAGCGGTGGAGTATGATATTAGAAATAATTTGTGAAGATACCCACCTCTGTTTAAGACCATCCATAAGCGTAAGAAGCTGAGATACAATCCTTCTCTCTACCTCACCATGAGTCTTCTCTCTCTTTGGTGCAATAGAATCGAGTTCATCAATAAAGATAATGGATGGAGCATTCTTCTCTGCTTCTTCAAATGCTTTCCTAAGGTTGGATTCAGATTCTCCTGCAAGCTTGGACATAATCTCGGGACCGTTGATGAGGAAGAAGAAAGCTCCAGTCTCGTTAGCTACTGCTCTAGCCATCAATGTTTTACCAGTTCCAGGGGGTCCATAAAGCAGGATACCACGGGGAGGTTTCACTCCAATAGCCTAATCATTAAACATTAGGAACTGAGTATGAGGAGGAGAGGGATGCATTATTTAGCAATATTTACCTTGAATAGAGCTGGATGTCTGAGAGGAAGTTCAACCATCTCCTTAATCTGAGCAAGCTGCTTCCTGCATCCTCCGATATCATCATACCTAGATATATGAAATTAAACCTTTTAAAATAGGTAAAGCTTTAATTGAGGGTTTTTTTAAAACATTTTACTCAGGATGTCGTTGATGGCTATATTTGGACATGAATTAAATAAATTTACCCAACAGCGTTGAGCGCATCCTCTTCATCTTCTTTCTTGACGGGTTCTCCCTCGCAGTGGATAACTGTATCCGGGGCAACAATACAGTACGGAGAAGGATCCGTCTCAATAACCTTAAACTCAACTGCTCGCATACCTCCACGGACTACAAATGTGTCACCCTTATGGATTGGTCTGTATGCCTCTAGGAAGTAAGGTTTAAGATAAACCTCGAACCAGTTTCCGGTCAAACCTTCCACACTCTCATCAATAGGTAGAACATGAATACGTTTACCGTACTTAACATCAGGACAGGACTAAACAAAATTCCATTAAGGAAACTATTTCTTAAAGTTTTATTTGATGCTATTTCTAATTTCTTTTTAATAATCTAAGTATGTGAATACCTGAATTGCAACAATATCTCCAAGACGAACTCTAAGATTGTTCCGGACAACTCTGTTCATTCTAATCTTTTCATCTGAGATAGTTTCATCAGAGAGAACAATGCAAACAGTTTCCTTCCTCTTCTTACCCTAAAAAAACGAGATTATGAAAAATAATTCTCGTAAATCTTAAAAAAGTTGGAATCAAAAGTCAAGTTTTTTCCTCTTTGATATGGTTTTGTCCAATAATTCATATATTTTCCCCAACTCCGCGAATAAAGCCCAGCCCTGCCCTAAGAATGCGGGGGAATAATTAAAAAAAAAAACTTTTACCCCTGACATGTTGTAAGATAAGGTCGATATTTTTAACTCGCATGAAGATCCGTGGGTAGCGGATTCGGATGAAAAAATACTGCAGATCCAGTGTAAAAATAAGAAAATAATAAAAATCAACAGTTTGTGCGTTTAAATATTTTCTTTCAAAGCTAAAAACTTCTATTTGAATTTAAAATTATGAATATTACCTTAAGGAGAACTGTGTCTCCTCTGAAAAGCTGTAATTCGTCCATCTTGGCCAGGGACAAGGCAACCACGCTAGAATATTTAAACGTAGAAACAAGGACAAAATAGAAAGAAAAAAAAACACGAAGTTTATTGGAAATGGTGGTCTCTAGAAATCCGACACAAGTTAAGTGTTTTATGATTAAGTCTTCTATGACCTAAGAGTTTTCCGACCAAAACTTTTTTTTAGATATTTTAGGTTAGGTTAAGTTCAGCCGGGTAGATAGCGTTTAATGGGCCTTAGACGGAGTTAAAAGGTAGAGGATTTAAATTAGTAAAATGCACGGAAAGTTATATAACTCAATACATAGGTCGGATACTTTACATGCACGGAAATTTATATGGGTCTGTCCTAGAGAACGATTTTTGGCCCCCCCCCCCATCCAATCAATTTGTACACGATTTCATCAAATTGTTGTTAATTAATTTTAATTTTCTTAGGGTTAGGTTAGGTTTAGAAAATTTCTGGGCCGAGCGCCGCGGCTAGGACAGACTATAAGGGGTCCGAGCGCAGCGGCTAGGACAGACCATAAGGGGGTCGAGCGCGGCGGCTAGGACAGGCTAAATGGCCGGGCGCTGCGGCACACATGACCAATGATAACCATGTACAAAATTATTAGGAGGGGGGGGGGGGGGTCCAAAAGTCGTTCTCTAGGAAATTGCCAATTATATCAGCTCAATACATTTTTATAGTAAACATAACTTTCATATCCAAAAGAAATTAGAAGGCTGACATATAACAAGATAACTAAACTGTAGCCTCGCAATAATAGAATTTAAATCTAACCATATTTCACTATTTTTAACAGGAATAATGTTAAATTACAACCTGTTATCGTCGTTGACGGCATCCTCAACGAGAAGCCGGTTAGGTTTACTCTTCTTGTTCAAGATAGCGGTAGCCAACTCATCTCTTAAAAACAAATATGTTAAAGTTAACCATATATTTAAGAAGGTTTAAATAAAAATTTTGATTTACTTTCTCTGCAAAATTGGTAAAGGTTGTACGTCGGTAGAACTCATTTTTAACTGATGATTAACCAAAACTTGAGAATTTTCGACAAATAATTTGCGGATTCCGATCAATAAGTTCATTAAATAATTGTAATATTACTGGGTAGGAAAAGCCTGTGAAAAATACTAAAAAAACTTGGTCTATATCCTTAAAAATTATATTTTTCTGTATCATGACTTGCATAATTTTTTGAGTTTAGTTAAAGTCTTTTCTACTTGAAAATGACAATTTTACCGAAAATGTAGAAAAGTATATTCGAAACGGGAATAAATGGTTGATTAATTTGATCTAAACTTACCCTTTTTTATCCGTCATCTTCAGAAAATATAACTTTAATCGCTAGTTTCTCAGTCCGACGTCTCCACAAAAGTGAAGTAATGCTCGCAGTGCCGCAATATTTGTTAAATCGAATGTGCTGGAAATTTTCTGAGCTATGATTGGTTCGAGCTGAATTCTGTGAGCTCTGATTGGTGGATTTCTAAGCTGAATCATCTGAGCCAGCTGTATTACCGGTGAGCAGAAAGCTTCCCTTTATCAAAGGAAAGCATATTCAACATTGTTTACAAAATGGCGGGGGTTAAAGGTAATAAATAATAGTTCGTAATTCAATTTCAAATTTCATCACTTTTAATGATTTATCTAAGTAATTTAACTATTGGTCGTGTGTTATTAGAAAGATTTAGCTCATAATAAATAATATTCTATTTTATTAAGCTCTGGTAGCGCTGGCTTTCAGTGGATCTGTTGGTCTTCTTTTTCTCTTTCTTTCCTGCGCTCTACCTCAGTTCAAGTAAGAAGACGTTTTAAAGAGAGTCAGTTCCTTCTCCCAGAGTATCATTTCCTTCTCCCGGAGTATCAGTCCTTCTTTCTAAGTATCATTTCCTTCTCCCAGAAGAGTATCAGTTCCTTCTCCCAGAATATCAGTTCCGATCCTCCTAGAGGATCAGTTCCTTCTCACAGAGTATCAGTTCCTTCTCCCAGAGTATCAGTTCCTCCTCCAAGAGTATCAGTTCCTCCTCCCAGAGTCTGTTCCTTCTCCCAAAGTATCAGTTCCTTCTCCCAGAGTTTCTGTTCCTCCTCCCAGAGTATCAGTTCCTCCTCCCAGAGTATCAGTTCCTTCTCCCGGAGTATCTGTTCCTTCTCCAAGAGTAACAGTTCCTCTTCCCAGAGTATCAGTTCCTTCTCCCAGAGTATCAGTTCCTCCTCCTAGAGTATCAGTTCCTTCTCCCAGAGTATCACTTCCTTCTCCGAAATTATAAGTCCATCCTCCTAGAGTATCAGTTCCTTCTCCCAGAGTATCAGTTCCTTCTCCGAGATTATCAGTCCATCCTCCTAGAGTATCAGTTCCTTCTCCCAGAGTATCAGTTCCTTCTCCCAGAGTATTAGTTCCTTGTCCCTTACTTACGGGTTTTTCCTCCAGAGTATCAGTTCCTTCTCCCGAAGTCCAAGAAAACATTAAAAGTGTTTTATTACTGTCTTTTTATATCTCTATATATTTTAGTAACTGGTATCCCTTCACTGTAGTTGTATTCTATCTTCTGTCTCCTATACCAAGTATAATAGCGAGTAGATATACTGATGCATCAGGAGAGAACGGTCAGTGCCGAGAGCTTGCTTGGTTCCTTACCACAGGTCGGTACATAAGTGATTTATTATTGTTTATGGGCATGAAACCTGTTTCCAGGATGATTTGGGGAAGATTGAAGAATTATAGTTATTTAACATAAATACTGACAACTGAAGTGTTTTGAATTTTCATAAAAAATATCATCTCCCACATTCCAACATCCTTAACTATCACCCCCCCCCCCCNCCATTTGAATGTTTTTTTGTTATTGTACGCAGAAGAACACTATTAAAATGTAGTGCATTTCAAATAAAAATAAGCCGAATTACATATAGTGGAAACTAAAATCTTCGGAATGAATGTCTTCCTTTCACCTTCTTTTAATAAGAAACACTTCACAAGTTTTTAACAGATTTTAATACAAAATCATCAGTGAAAATTTGATAGAAAGGAAAAGCAGAGACGACAATCATTCCACTTATTAGTTTAAAACTGGAGGGCCCGGAGTTGCCCGTGGAAAAAAATATATTTTGAGAGAAAAAAATTATAACAATACCTCGATGTTTATAACTGTTTTTTTTTATATTATTTGTTGTAAAATTCTGTAAAATATATAATTATTTCTATCCTGCTTCAGGAATAGTTATCTCTGCGTTTGCTCTACCAATCGTTCTCACCCGGGCACCGGTCACAGCAATCCCACCAAACTCTACTGTAACGGATGTTGAAGGAATTGTAAGTATTAAGTCGAGAGAGGTTCAGGGTGTCTCAATAAACATGGAGTAAAGTCTTGAAATCGTCTGAACCACGCAGTGTTACTTGTGAGCCTGAAAAACTTAAATAATAACACCAAACATCTTGGAACCTGACTTTTTCTTCCAGATTTGAGTTTTTGAATTTTCAGAATCTCAATCATATTTGTCAGAAAGATGGTAGACCATTTTTATTAAAGCTCAAGGGTTTAAAGAAAGAATATTTTAATACAATCTTTGTGCGTTCTAAATCTTTAATAGCCCACACATGTATAAAAAAACTCTTTTTTTGTCATATTTGTATATATATATTTATTTACTTTATTGTAAACCAAATTGGCTAAAAATTTTGGAAATCCACGGGCTACGCTTCATCAAAATTCATGAGTTAATACAAGGCGCGGGTAAACGGCGGTAGTAACTATGAGTAACCCGGGCACTTCAGCTAGTTTTTTATGTTTGTTAATAACCGTGGAAATGACGTACAATCTCACGTTTTTTGGAACTCATTGTTTAGTCATTTACTTCAAGAGAAAGAGACTCGAGTTTAAAGAATGGAAAAGAATAGAATTAACTTTAAAGGTTTAAAATTTGATTAGTTAATTGAATTTAATTGTAAGTGAGTCAAAATTTGGTGTCAATTTCTGAGGAATAAAAATATAGTTTAAAAATTTAAAATTATAATATTCGTATATTTATATTTGCATTCGTTCGAATGAAACCTGGTTTTTGTATTTAGATCTCTGGCGGAGCATGTGGACTAGTGCTGACCGCAAACGCTGTCATGTTTCTGACAATTCTCGGCTTCTTTCTTGCCTTCGACAACGATGATCACAGATACTCAGTCTGGTAGATACTTCGAGTACATGTTTACAGATAAACTCGAATATTCTCGAGTTCTTTTAAGTAGATAGACTCGAATATACTTGTACTTTACTAACTTTAAGATAGACTCGAATATTTTCAAATTCTTTCTAGTAGAAATAGGCTCGAATATACTCGAGTTCTTTCTAGTAGATAGGCTCTATAATACTCGAGTTCTTTCTAGTAGAAAGACTCGAAAATAGATGGATTAAAAAATACTCGGGTTCTTTCTAGTAGATAGGCTCTATAATAATCGAGTTCTTTCTAGTAGAAAGACTCGAAAATAGATGGACTAAAAANTCTGTCGCCTTGATAAGGAGATGCGGGGAGGATATTTTGGAAGCATATTCCTCGGCAACCTCCAGAACCATATTAAACATTGTGGGGATACGCAATCTAGAAGCAATACTTTCATATATATCTGTGTTTATCTACATAATAAAGCTTAGCTATAGTTGGAACAGGTCAACTTGAGTTTTAAGAGTTCTACTTGTAAATCAATCTGAGTTTTCTTTCTATAAAAAACTCTGAAAACACGTGTTCTTAATTTAGTTAGAAACAATCTGCTACATCACGTATTTTCAGAGTTATACCTTATCCGATGAAGATAAATTTTAATCTTATCTTAACAAAAAATTAAGATCGCGATTTACAAAAAAACTTTTTAATCGCATTTTTTCCCTCAATACTGATGTTTTCAGTTATTTAATGGTTGTAATATTTTTTTTTCTGTCCCTCGGTATATTTTTGTTAAAAATTGTCTATTTTTGTCACAAACATTTGCGATTATAAACCCTAATTTTTTCTCGTAATTGCGAGCATTGAGTGCTGTGATACCCTCTCAAAGAAACATTAGTCTGAGCCTCAATTGTCAAATTTTTCTCAAGATGTCTTGTGAAAAAATATCGCGCTCAGAAGTTTCTATAGATATTTAATAATTGATTTAAGAAAGTAATATTTTATCTCCTGTATTTAGCTCTGTATGGATCTTGTAATAAAATAAATGTCCGAATGAAAACTTGTTTAACCAAGAGAGAAGTAAGGAAAGATGTTAAGAAGATCAATGTGGAGATATAGAAATGTGAGAAGAGGAAAAGAAAGATCAAGTAGATATAGATGCAGGGTTAACGCGTCCCGGCGTCTGACAAGTTTAAGCGTGCCGCAATTAATGCAAAATAGCACAATGGGCGTAGAACGAAAATATTTGTATTGCCATAATAATTACGGTTCTTGCCAGGCTCCCTCCCTGAACCACTGAACATATATAACGACCTCAAAATCTACACATTGATTTATTGATAAACTCTAAATATGCAGCTATTTGCAGCTGAATGTCTAGTAAATATCTTTCATGCTAGATAGACAGGGCGGTCCGCTTTAATGATCCATCTAGATCCCTCCCGGAACCACTGGAAATATAACGACCTCTAAATCTACACATCGATTGATTGATTTATTGATGAAATCGAAATATACAGCTACCTGCAGCTGAATGTTCAGTAAATATCTTATATGCTAGAAAGAAAGAGCGGTCCGCGTTAATGATCCATCTAGATCCATCTATCCACCTGATCTGAGAGACTAGAGCGGGATTAACACTGGGGTTAGAGAACCGAGAGGGGATAGGGAAAGGTCGTTTAACAAAACAAATGAAATGTGATAAAATGATGAATGAAGAAGAGACAAGGTTCCCCACTAAGGAAAAAAATTACGAAACGACTGTACAAATCTATTCATTTATGTTCCTTGTAGGTTTAAATTGGATCTTTATTTAAAGAAGTAAGGTGTACTGAAAAAAAGTACAATTAAAAATTCAACATGCTCTTTGTAAAAAAAATTAAGACCGTCCAAAAATATCGCATGCTTTGTGGGTAAACCTGTATCTCAGTTATTTTCTTTCTCGTTCTTTGAAAGAAAGCAACGCAAGAAATATACCATTTAATTTAAAAAATAAAATCATCGGCAATTGCAAATTCACAAAGTGCACACTCCACAATATCTTCAACAATTTTCTATGTAAAAAATAAAAAAAATAAAGCAAATCGTTATAATTTTTATTAATTTCATATTTCCATAAATTAAATTTCTAAAACTGAAAAAAACATATTCTAAATAAAATTTAACAAAATTTAAAACTGCAGAAATAACAAGACTCGCTGAAGCATGACATTTTATGGTTAGATTCAGTTAAAATTCTATTATTTTATATCTATAAGTTTACACTATCTTTATTTTAAATACTGTACTGTACATAGTCTATTAGTCATTGCACAGAATGTACGTTATGCTAGAAAGCACACAGGAATATTTACCCATGACTGAATGTAAATTTTGCTTAGGAATAAAGTTTAATTCAGATCTAAGTATGTATCTAATTTGTATTTATGGATTGTATCTTTAATTATTAATTTTAAACAAGATCATAAGGAATTTTTCCCGGATTTTCTTCCTCGAAATTCATCTCGAGAAATCGGTTAATAATTGGAGCCACAACCTCCGGTTTGTTAAGATGCACATGATGACCACCTTCAACCTCGCGGTAAATAAACCTCGGGTTGTTGTTCCTCATCACCTTCAACAACCTGTCATAGCTCTCGTCCGGCATATACTTGTTCGAGTCTGTCGCCTTGATAAGGAGATGCGGGGAGGATATTTTGGAAGCATATTCCTCGGCAACCTCCAGAACCATATTAAACATTGTGGGGATACGTAATCTAGAAGCAATACTTTCATATATATCTGTGTTTATCTACATAATAAAACTTAGCTATAGTTGGAACCAATTTGGTGGACATTTTTCGAGGGAACCCGTAAAATTCTAAATTTTTTGTTCGACGCGTCTTAATCATAAAATCATTATTTAAGCGTGGTTATACGGCGGGAGTAACTATGTCTATGAATGATCATATAAACTTGAGTAACGCCGGGTACTCAAGTTAGTCATGTACATAATACATTTTATAAGGAAGTATTTTGTTGATTTTTCCTTTATTGTACTTTTAATTATTTAAATTGCTGATCTAAAATAAAATAAAAACATAGAACCTTGCAAGGATTTTCCAACGTTCCCTTTAAGTGACCTTTCAGAGTGCCAGAAGTAATTCACAACTTTACCCTTTAAACCTTTATCTGACCAATCACAAAATATAACAAACATTTCGAGTTCTCTGAGAAGTAGAAATTCGCGGTTAGTAATCTGGAAATTCTACAGCACAAAAATATCAACTTTAGGATTGAAAATTAAGATATCTTCATCATAGTCAATAAAAAGGATATTTGAGAATAGTTTATATCACTCTAGAACTGCAGGGTTATGTTGACAATTTTTCTCTTCGAGGCTGAGTTTTACACCCGTTAAAAGAGATATAATTTGATATTTTATGAAAATATTCCTGAGATCATGTGTCCATGTGAATCCTTTGTCAGGTACTTCCACCAACCCTCGACTCATCAGGGTTTCCACTGATTTCTAAGGACAACGCCAGANAAATTCGTTATCTATATACTTTGCTTGTCTGTCTGTCTTTTTGTTTGTATTCAATAAACGGCTGAACCGATCGGGCCAGAATTTTGTGAAGGACCTCACATGAACCCAAGGAAGGTTTATGAATGATTTAAAATTTCAAAAATAGCCTCGATTTTCATTAAATTTAGAAATTCCACGATTTTTTTCTAAAGAACGCGAACATTTTTTGTTTTTGTTTTACAATGTATACAAAGAAAAATTTTCTGAATAAATTTTCTGAGTAAAAATCACAATTATTTTTAAGATCTTTTTTTTATTTCGATTCTTTTACAACATTAGTCTAACCTTAGTTATTGACCCAAGTCCATTAATAATATTAGAGGCCATGAAAGCGCGTCCACAGGCGTCCTCGAAATTATAATAAGGAATTTTCCCATTGGCCATCTGGTCTCCGATCCTCACAGACTCGAGGACGGAGCGTCGAGAGGCTCGGACGTGTTTGTTTAAAGCCATTGACCCGAAGGAGATAAGATCGATCGAGACCAGTTTGCTGACTCGCTCCGGGAACAGGGCTGAGTACCACGATGCCATCCCTCCTCCTAGATTCAAACAAAATTAATAAAACAGTTTCCAGCTTCTCAAATATACGATTTAATTTCCAATCCCGTTTTATCATAAATATACCGAGATGTTGACAAGGGTTTTTGTGAAATGTTAACTTAACTAAAAGACAACATTTTATTTCTAGGGAAAAATGAAGATGAAAGTTGTCAGATTTGGCCCAGTTTAGATACTCTCCACTCCCACCTAATCCATTTATTTTCCCCATTTAATATTCAGAGANGGGGGGGGGGGGAGTTAAAATGCATTCAAACCAATTTATTATTTCCTTTTAAACGAGATGGAGTAAAAAAAGAAATATTTACCTAAAGAATGTCCAATAATAATAGATTGATCCAACTGTAAATGATCTAAAACTCTAAAACCCAGTTGACATTAGAAAAATTAAAAAATGGTTCCTATGAATGTCTAGTAAGGTTTCTATGAATGAATGTCTAGTATGGTTCCTATGCATAAAGGTCAAGTATAGTTCCTACCAATAAATGTCAAGTATGGTTACTGTGAATGAATTTCAAGTATGGTTACTATGAATGTCAAGCATGGTTCCTATAAATGAATTTCTAGTATGGTTCCTAAAAATGAATGTCTAGTATTGTTCCTATGAATGAATGTCAAGTATGGTTCCTATAAATGAATGTCTAGTATTGTACCTATGAATGAATGTCAAGTATGGTTCCTATAAATGAATGTCAAGTATTGTTCCTATAAATTAATGTCAAGTATGGTTCCTTTAAATGAATGTCAAGTATTGTTCCTATAAATGAATTTCTAGCATGGTTCCTAAAAATGAATGTCTAGTATTGTTCCAATAAATGAGTGTCTAGTATTGTTCCTATGAATGAATGTCAAGTATGGTTCCTAAAATGATGTCTAGTATTGTTCCTATAAATGAATGTCTAGTATTGTTCCTATAAATGAATTTCTAGTATGGTTCCTAAAAATAAATGTCTAGTATTGTTCCTATAAATGAATGTCAAGTATTGTTCCTATAAATAAATGTCAAGCATGGTTCCTCTAAATGAATGTCAAGAATTGTTCCTAAAAATGAATTTCTAGTATGGTTCCTAAAAATGAATGTCTAGTATTGTTCCTATAAATGAATGTCTAGTATTGTTCCTCTAAAAGAATGTCAAGTATTGTTCCTATAATTAAATGTCTAGTATTGTTCCTATCAATAAATGTCTAGAATGGTTCCTCTAAATGAATTTTAAGTATTGTTCGATAAATGAATGTCTAGTATTGTTCCAATAAATGAATGTCTAGTATGGTTCCTCTAAATACATGTCAAGTATTGTTCCTATGAATGAATTTCTAGTATGGTTCCTAAAAATGAATGTCTAGTATTGTTCCTATGAATGAATGTGAAGTATGGTTCCTATAAATGAATGTCTAGTATTGTTCCTATGAATGAATGTGAAGTATGGTTCCTATAAGTGAATGTCAAGTATGGTTCCTAAAATGATGTCTAGTATGGTTCCTATAAATGAATGTCAATTATGGTTCCTATGAATAAATGTGAATCCATCTGAGAGCTTGTAATGCATCCCAGGAGGGTAGTGAGAGGAGAATAGTTGAACCTGTATCCAGGAGGAAGAAGTTTTACTAGTTTCTCATCAGTTGAACCTGTATCCTGGAGGAAGGAGTTTAACTAGTTTATCAGGAGTTGAATCTGTATACTGGGGGAAGGAGTTTAACTAGTATATCATGCGTTGAACCTGTTTCGTGCAGGAAGGAGTTTAACTAGTTTATCATGAGTTGAACCTGTATCCAGGAGGAAGAAGTTTAACTAGTTTCTCATCAGTTGAACCTGTATCCTGGAGGAAGGAGTTTAACTAGTTTATCATGAGTTGAACCTGTATCCTGGAGGAAGGAGTTTAACTAGTTTATCATGAGTTGAACCTTTATCCTGGAGGAAGGAGTTTAACTAGTTTATCATGAGTTGAACCTGTATCCTGGGGGAAGAAGTTTAACTAGTTTATCATGAGTTGCTGCGTTATCCAACCAACCGTGAAGACCTAAAATATAATATTTCAAATTTTAAAATACAAACTGGCTTTTCGAGAGACATAGAAGATAAATAATTCTGCGGGAATATTGCTTGATGTAGGATATTTTGGAAGAAAGTTTTTAAACCGATCTTATTTTTCAAAATTTTCTTTAAACCCATCAATGCTTGACTGTTACGCAGAAGTTTCTCCAGAGTTTTTAAGATACGCAAGTTTCAACCACTGTGCATAAAAAATGATAATAATACAAAACAATCAACCTTCATTCCGAAATAATAAAACTTTATCAAATATTTTGTGTATATTTTAAGCGTGTTAATATGACCTAGAATAGGTTTAGCTCCAGGCTCTCCCCAGACCTTGCCAGCAATATGTCCATATGGAGTAGGAATCCTTATCTCCTCTGATTTTGTGTACTCACTTATAAACCTGGACAACTCAAATCTTGTCTGATCAAAAAACTTAAAAAAGAAACCGACCTGGGGTTCGGATACAATTTACAAATGAAATGAAATATTTTTACTTACTTCAAAATTATCCTTTTTGTAAAAAATCGGTTCCAATACTTGATAAATCAAAACAAAAATATGTAAAAAATGACAAAATAGTAAAATTAGGCGTGTAATTTTCCGGAACATCCTCTTCGAAAAAAGGGCGAAGAAATATTTGGCCTGTGAAAACAAATTATGAACGTATTTTATGCAAAACAAGACTTCGGTTTAAGGAAACCTATAACAGCACGCCTTATGCAAAATGGGGAGTTGTAAGCCTTAAAGCCTCATTGAGAGGAATCCGCCACACCTGTCCAGTCACAACAGCGGGTAGAGTAAAAATACGGTATCGCTGTGCATGACTTGTAATGTATACCCATCAGGTTTTTAACTCCTTTTGGGTGAATACAATAATTTTAATGTTAATATTTCTAATCCAATTAGGAAAAGGTTCTGCCTCTGCGCTACATTTCATTCCAGCAAAAATCATATATTTTGTCCCTGTAAAATTTTCATTATTTATTAGTTAAGTACCATTAAACATACTTTTTAATTAAATTGACTCAATCTATTGATTTTAAGTTTACTGTTGTATATTTTAAAGAATTACCCAGGGAGGAGTGGAAATGATTTTGGAAGATCTAGAGAAAAATTGCGCGCCAAAGTACAAGTCCCCCCCCCCATCATTTTCCCCTAAAAATCAGCCCCCCAATTCAGGAAATAAACGCCAAAAAAATAATTAAAACAAGGGGGGAGGGGGAAATTGGTTTGTCAAGAAAATGAACAGTACACCCCTTACATAATACGAAGCATAAATGGGATCTGAAAATGTCTACATAAGACGTTACTAAATTGGACACAAGATGTTTCCTTTTAACAGGTTGAAAATGAGTTTTCCGTCTCCAGGCAATGCTTACAAACATATTAATCTGAAATTTGAGATATTGAAAAAAAAACAGTAACACAAGACACAAACTTTATTAGAAATGCGAGAATACGACAAAATGAGATCTATTTGGCTGCTGCGTCCTTGGCTTGGATAAGGGTGATGTTGTCACCCTTTAACATAATCCGGGACAGTGGTTTCCTGGTGTGTCGCTTCAAATGAACTTCAACTGCTTCGTCGAGAACTAGATTCATGTATTCGTCAAATCCTAAAAACTTAACATTTAGCTCGGTGTATTGAGTTTATATTTTTGCAATCTAATTTATTCGCTTGTTGTTTATGTCCAATAAACCTCAAAATAGCGGATCCGATGAGGCCAGATCTATGTGGTAAATCACATGACCCCAACGAAGGTCTAAGGCCGATCATTTGAAAACAATGAAAACTATCACCTTAATCTCAAACTTAATGGGCATATTTATATAAAAGGTGCCACCATTAATGATAATAAAGATTCAAAAAAAAAAAATTAAACAAGAAAAGAATTCAAAGTATACTTGGAGTTCTTAAAAGCCGAAAATGTTCAACAATATGAAACAAACCAAGATTCAATCGGTGTGATAAGGTGGTCAAGAGGTGATGAGTCAGTCAATAAAGCGGTCCAAAGCTTGAAAAACCACCCATGACAATTGTTTGGTCACTGGGAATAAATATACAATTTACATCGTCAAACAACCCGCAGGAAAATCATTACACAGGACACGACACACAAAATTATTGTAAAAAGTAGATTAACACAGATTATGAGAGAGATTAGGGGGGTAGGATCACCTGTGATTATTCCTTCAATTCTTGTATTTACATTTTCGTAGAGCCATACGCTGATCACAGTACGGTTCTGTAAATACCTG